GCTCTTTGCGTACGGCCTTCTCGAAGCCATGCCTGACAACACCTAACCACAGTGTCTACACTTCTTTGCACTGTAACTGCAATTGCCCGAAAAGAAGGTCCATCTTCCCGAAGTCCCACTTTACGGCCCCTATCAAACTCACTAAGTTGACGAAATCGTACAGGTCTCCGTACTCTAGGCATCGTAACCGATCGTAAAGGATGTCAAGAACCAAAATCCGCCAACGTTGATTCTTTACTGCGGCTGAAATATTCATTTTTAGAGCGTTAGTGAATTAAAAAAAAAGCAGTATAAAAACCGGAATGTCCAACTGATAAGGCTGAAAAATTTTTCACTTGTTATTTACAATAAGATAAATACATTCACCAACTTTTATTAAAATAAAACCATTTAAACTGGGTGTTCGGATTTATATGTCATTAGTATAGATTCATCCTGAGTGCCAGATAGTACAGAAGGTCTTAAAGACGTCCCTTTTGTGCAATAATAATGTTCGAATGACCGAGACACAATAGCGTTTTAAAGATAACTTATGTCTTATAGAAGAGATTGGAATCGAACTTAATAAAAAGTTAAGTATATTAGTGTATATATGAAAAATCTAATACCTGAATACCTAACTAAACATTTGAGTAAAGAATATTTACGATTGAAAATATACTAAGTGACATATAAAGGTTTTGAACTCAGACCGTCGATTAAGTATTCGTTTAATTGCCCAGATGGTAAATTTACCAAAAGCTGTGGTTCATGACATTGTGACACAGCATTTGAACATGCGCAAGGTGTGCGCGAAGATGGTCCCAAAAGTGCTCACTGACGACCAGAAATTGCGGCGTGTGGAAGTGTGCCAAGAAAATTTGAACATGTGTGAAAGGGACCCCCAATTTTTGAATAACGTAATCACAGGTGACGAGTCGTGGATCTTTGAGTATGATCCCGAGACAAAGAGTCAATCTTCCGAGTGGCACACGACGGCGTCTCCTCGCCCAAAAAAGGGAAGAATGAGTAAATCCAAAGTAAAAAAGGTGCTCATTGTTGTCTTTTTTGACATCAAAGGCATCGTCCACCGTGAATTTGTTCCTCCTGGACAAACCGTCAACGTCAAGTTTTACGTGGAAGTGCTCAGGAGACTCAAACGAAGGGTCAGTCGGGTCCGACAAGACATCGCAGCCGACTGGAAGCTGCACCACGACAACGCCCCGGCTCACACCGCCTTTCTTGTCAACAGCTACCTGACCAAGGCCGGCATCCCAACGCTTCCGCAGCCGCCCTACAGCCCAGATGTGGCCCCCCGGAGTCATTTTTGTTTCCTCGCCTGAAAGGGCCAATGAAAGGCAAGCATTTTGAGACGACAGAGGGGATCCAAGCAGCATGCACCGCGGCTCTCTAGGCTATTCCGGAGAGTGCCTTCCGTCACGCCTTCAATGCTTGGAAATCGGGTTGGCAGCGCTACATCGACGCAGAAGGAGCCTATTTTGAAAGTTTTCAAAGAATTGTAACGATGGGCTCAATATTTTTTTTTAAATCGACTCAGTCCTATTACTTTCCGGACAAACCCTGTATGTATTTTTTAAACACCATTGTATCTTTTTAGATTTGTAATAAATCGTAATAAATCGTAATAAATCGTTATAAATCGTAATAAATCGTAATAAATCGTAATAAATCGTAATAAATCGTGATAAATCGTGATAAATCGTGATAAATCGTGATAAATCGTGATAAATCGTGATAAATCGTGATAAATCGTGATAAATCGTGATAAATCGTGATAAATCGTGATAAATCGTGATAAATCGTGATAAATCGTGATAAATCGTGATAAATCGTGATAAATCGTGATAAATCGTGATAAATCGTGATAAATCGTGATAAATCGTGATAAATCGTGATAAATCGTAATAAATCGTAATAAATCGTAATAAATCGTAATAAGTCGTAATAAGTCGTAATAAATCGTGATAAATCGTGATAAATCGCGATAAATCGTAATAAACCGTAATAAATCGTAATAAATCGTAATAAATCGTAATAAATCGTAATAAATCGTAATAAATCGTAATAAATCGTAATAAATCGTGATAAATCGTAATAAATCGTAATAAATCGTAATAAATCGTAATAAATCGTAATAAATCGTAATAAATCGTAATAAATCGTAATAAATCGTGATAAATCGTAATAAATCGTAATAAATAGTAATAAATCGTGATAAATCGTGATAAATCGTGATAAATCGTGATAAATCGTGATAAATCGTGATAACTCGTGATAAATCGTAATAAATCGTAATAAATCGTAATAAATCGTAATAAATTATAATTTTAATAAATTATAATTTTTTCACTCTTAGTTGGCCATCAGACAAGGTTTGCATTATTTAATAGGAGCACATCCCTAGAGTTACCTCTGCAACGTCTCTAGCTCTGCAATCTGCCAATCTGGTAAAATTTTCATGGCCTCCTTCTGTTTTCAACCTTAGGAAACAGTAGGTACTGGAAAAAACGCTCTATCCGAGAGGTAAACAATCGTAAGCCCAAATACCAAAGATTCAAGTAGTGGATAAAACAAGCAAAAATTTTAAGACAGCTTCAATAATGGGCATATTGCATCTGCAAAATTAAAAATAGCAACACCAAAAAGGTTGTGTTTAACAATACAGTGTACTGGAGTCAGCTTCTGAACTGTATTCGGTGTTCGGTAGCCTGTCTTGTCCGAAGATTTTTCTGCAAGTGATTCCGCTTTTCGGAGTCCGTAAACTTTGACAGCTCCGACTGAACGAACCCGCCGCGTCGTCTCACCTTTCTCACGTATTATATTGCTCGAATTCCTTAATCGAAAAGGTTCCCAGTCAATTTATCGTGTACACTCCTTGGGAAATGCTTTCTTTCATGCCGGAATTGAACTTTGTCGAAGCATTTCGAGTATCAATGCCACAACTAATGGACGTTTTGTGAACTGCAACGCATAAGCGATTCCTTACATTCTAGGGGAGCGCATGCAAGGCTCTACAGAAACCGTTTAGGGTCTAACGTACAGGGTCGCTACTTGCGAATCGATGAGAAGCAAATTCTCATCGCGACCGGTTCCGTATTGTTATCACGTAGAAAACCTATATAGTGTAAAAAAAACCGACGAAATGTCAACTTTCTAACTAGATAATTCCTAGTGTGCAAATAGTTCGTCCCGAGTTTGTTCTATGGAGGAATAACTCATCGTCACGACACGCTCAGTGACTCAACGACACGACACGCTCATTCCTATTACTATTACTATTACTATGATAATTGAGATGAGCAGAGTACACAGTACTATAAGCTCATGCAGTAAATATAGTGTACGGACACGTAACACAAATACATCAAATAGAAAAAAATAAAAAAAGACAGTTCATAGCTATAAAGTTTGTACACTCCTCCAGCTATCATACTGCACTTTGAAGCTATTAACTGAAGTAGCACCAACCACACTTTCAGGTAAACTATTCCAGGTGTTGAATATGCGGTTGGGAAGAAACCACTGTCGGACTGTTGTTTTAAATGCCTCCTTATGCAGTTTGAAGCTGTGTCCGCGTAGATTGCTGCGCGACAGACGGTATAGATGCATGAGGTTGGTGCCCATCAAACCATGAAGTATCCTGAACGTAACTATAAGATCGCCACGAAGTCTTCGCTCAGAGAATGAGGTCAGGTTGAATAATTCAAGGCGATCTTCATAGCTTGGTCTTCGTGCTCCAAAAGAGATACGAGTAGTCCGACGCTGTACTGATTCGACGAGATTTCTATCGCGCAGAAGCACAGTGTCCCATACCGGGCCAGCGAATTCAAGAATTGGCCTCACGAATGCCTTGTAAATGTAGGCGCAAGTGTTGACATCGGATCCTTTGAAAGACCTTTCCAGCATGTATAGAAGTTTCTTGGCTTTTGATGTAACGTGGTGACTATGCTCTGACCAGGAAAGACGATCGTTGACTACAACGCCCAGATCAGTGTGGCTGGAAACTTCTTCGATGTTGTGGTCAGAGATCTTGTATGTAAATCGCGGATTTGTCTTCCCGAGGTGAAGGACACAACACTTAGTTAGATTTAAGGATAAAAGCCAACTGACTGACCATTGACAAACAATATCAAGATCTCGTTGAAGCATAGCAGAATTTACGACAGTATTGTAAACTTGGTGTCGTCGGCATAAGCTGAACATGTGAAGGAAATCAATGCGGGCAGGTCACTTTTATACAGAAGGAACAGCACTGGCCCCAAGACAGAGCCTTGAGGAACTCCACTTGCTACATGATGAAGGTGAGACTGGCTATCACTGACGCGCACAGAGAAAGTCCTCCCGGTGAGAAAAGCCTTAATCCACAGTAACAACTCCCCTCTTATTCCCGTACATTCCAACTTAAACAGAAGCGTTCTATGTGGTACGCGATCGAAAGCCCTAGAAAAATCTAAGTAGATTATATCAACAGGAGTCTTTGTGTCCAGATACTGAGTCCAATCGTTGAGAGAGTGGAGAAGATTGGTCATTATTGATCGACCAGGGAGAAATCCATGCTGATTCTTAGGGATAAGGTCATTTTCGAAAGCAAATGACAGGAGCTTATCTAATATGATTCTTTCAGCTATTTTGGCGGCGATAGGAACGAGACTTATTGGTCGATAATTTTTAGCGGAGGATTTGTCGCCCTTTTTGAATACAGGGGTAACAGAAGCACTAAGCCAGCATGAGGGTAGGGTATGAGATCTAAAAGACGATGTGAATATCAAGCTTAATGGTAGGGCCAGTGCTGAAGCGCAGTTTTTAAGTACAGCAGCCGTCATCCCATCTTTACCTGGGGAGGAAGAGGTCTTCAGATTTCGCAGGTGCATTAATCCATCTTCAGGCAGGAACTCCGCGTACTTTGTTGGTTTCAGAATGCTGAGAATTGTATGGTACTGTATAGTATTGTAGATTATCGTAGAATATTGTACTATTAGTATTACAACCATAACCTTTAAAAAAGCTTGACATAACGCGTCATTTCCAGCATGGAACCAAAAAAAAATTCTGCAAGCGAAGAAGCGCCAGCCCCTATCGCAACTGCCAGTGGACCATCAGATGCATCGTTGCAACCAAAATACCTAAGTAAGAGGTCTCTCAAATTGCTACATGTGGAGACCTTCGATGCAGACCACGAACGACCCCCATCGCCCAGAGGTTGTGTAGGAGACGTCGAGGCGATACCGCTACCGACGACCTTTGCGAAAATAGGTATTTCACTTAGGGGCGATATCGCACACAGTCCTAATCATATATTTATTTAATAATAATAATATTTATTACCCTCATTGAACAGTATATAAAAGTTTACAAACAAAAAACCTTAAGAGAATGAAGGGCTACGTCAGCTTGCCCCTTAAAGAAGCAGCTGCTACAGCCAAAAAAAAACAAACAAATTTAACAATTCTATAATGCAAATGGCTATTAAGACATTGATAATTAATAATGTTTTGACTATCTTCTTTTAAATTATTGAATATTTTAGAACCCATGTATACTAAGTGACATATAAATCGGAACACCCAGTTTAAATGGTTTTATTTTAATAAAATTTTGTATAAGTACTTAATGAAGCATAATAAGTAAATGATAAAAATTTCAAAATGATTGCACTGCTTTAAACCCCTTTGACCTTTAATAATGTGTGGATGCACCCTGATGTGCTACGCATTCTCCAACGCGCCTAGGCATGCTTCTGATCAGGTGGTCAATGTCCTCCTGTGGTATCTCATTCCAGGCAACCACCAACTCCTCTCGAAGTGCTTCTAGAGTCAGAGGAGGACGTTGCAAATTGAGCAATCTCCTACCCATCATATCCCACACGTACTCAATTGGGGATAAGTCGTGAGATCTTGGTGGCCATGGTAACAATGCGACATCATTATGTTGAAAGAAGTCTATTGTGACTCTTGCAACATGTGGTCGGGCATTATCTTGTTGGAAAGTTGAACCTGCCAGGGTGTCAGGATAGGGTAAAAGATGGGGTTCTAGAACTTCGTGTTACCTCTAATGAAGATTAAAGGTGACCTGGAACCATAAGCTATAGCACCCCAAACCATAACTCCAACAGTGTGATGAACATGCCTTTCAACAAAAAACTGTGGATTCCTCCTTTCACCACGTCGCCTTCTAACCCTGGCACGACCATTGTGCATGCCTAAACAAAATCGAGACTCATCACTAAAGACAATACTGTTCCATTCCTGATTCCAGAGTTACCGTTGTCTGCACCACTCAAGGCGATTACGTCGGTGTTCTCGAGTTAAAGGGAGGACCCAATGTGGCCGGTATGAAAACAAGCTAAAACTTCTCATTCCTCGGTAAACACTTCGCATGCCAATAGGTCTTCCGTGTTCTGCAAATCATTCATTTGCAATGGACCTGGTAGTGGATAAACGGTCCCTTAAAGCCAATAATCTTAGGCGGCGATCTTCACGGTCTGTTGTTCTACGGCGGCGTCCAGTGCCCCTTGCTCTGCGTACGGCGTTCTCGAAGCCATGCCTGTCAACACCTAACCACAGTGTCTACACTTCTTTGCACTGTAACTGCAATTGCCCGAAAAGAAAGTCCAGCTTCCCGAAGTCCCACTATACGGCCCCTATCAAACTCACTTAGTTGACGAAATCGTACAAGTCTCCGTACTCTAGGCATCGTAACCGATCGTAAAGGATGTCAAGAACCAAAATCCGCCAACGTTGATTCTTTACTGCGGCTAAAATATTCATTTTTAGAGCGTTAGTGAATTAAAAAAAAGCAGTATAAAAACCGGAATGTCCAACTGATAAGGCTGAAAATTTTTTAACTTGTTATTTACAGTAAGATAAATACGTTCACCAACTTTTATTAAAATAAAACCTTTTAAACTGGGTGTTCGGATTTATATGTCACTCAGTATAATTCAATGATTTCTGATGCAGTACGATGTTAAGAGGGTATAGACAATTATTACGAATTTTCAGATAAGTTGGTGCCATTTCCCTTGGTCAGAGAAATAGGAGTGAAAGCATTCATCGTATATCTTTCGGAACTGTTAGGACTAAAATACTACAAAACCAGCTTGCTGCAGTTTTGGTTCCTTGATATCCTGACCGATATAATCTGGAGAGCACAGGATGAGTACCAATTTCCTGACCAACGGCAGAAATGTATCGTGGAGTGGATATTTTTTATGTTCGACCTGATTAGAGGTATGTATCTACGTTTTAACAAATCTTGCGCCCTTCTAATGAACCGTCACATTGTCAAACAGGTATATTGATGTTATTTAAAGACCTAACTTTATAACGCTTCCGAAAGATTTACATTAAAGTTTAGCGTCAAAATATCAGCCATGTACGAACCATAGTTTCACACAAAGGTGAAACCGTACAAGTAGTGAACCTCCAAACCGAGATACCACAGCAATTTCTACAGATGATGCCACATTAGTTTCAGCAACCAAAAGCTTGAGTAATGTCTCCTGTATGTGATGCTCGTGGAGAAAAGACAGAAGATAATAAACTGATATCAGTATGTGCATGAGGAAGTTATGCTCAGTTTTTGAACGAGAAGTTAAGAAACTTACATTAGGGGTACTGAAGTTGATGCTTAAATACTATGTTTTAGTGTAAAGGTGGAAGTCGAAAATTTAAGATGGCAGCTGGGTGTCTTTTTGGAACATATTAAACGGTATGAGGGTCGTGTGGTACCTCATTTTGGACCTCCCTATGGTCACAACATAATTCGAGAGCATGGAATCACTATCTTCTAAAATGAAAATGAGGCAAGCCTTCAAAGTGGAGCGTTTTTTGTACATCGAGTATACACCTATAACTCAACCACCGATAATATACAGGGTGAACGCAAATTTGGGGGTTTCCTTTACACGACGTGTAGATCTTGAAAACATAAGCAATTTTTCTTAGTACCATATATACCAATGACTTAAGGGAACCGAGATAAAGGGCTCTGCAACATCAAAAATATCTTAATACCGTCCTGTACCCGCGACCCGCGATATCACCGACTGGTACAAGTGGGTCGGGGTCAGTGTGTCAGGTCAGTATGCAAACTTCAACCGACGGTTACGGTCACGCGTGTAGAGGTAAACGAATGCGTATAATCGATTGCGTTTCAAAAAACAACAAGCACTAGAGACGCGGCTAGAGAAGTGCAAGTATCAAAAACTACAGTGTGGCAAACGCTGCGTGAAGAGGGGCTGTACCCGTTTCACGTCCAACGTGTACAAGCCCTTCAACCTGACGATTTTCCAGCAAGAGTGCGGTTTTTGTGAGTGGTTGCTGCATCAACATGACAATAATCCGGACTTTTTGAAGTGCATATTGGTGACAGACGAATCTACGTTCACGCGTAATGGGGTGAATAACTTCCGCAACACTCATGTTTGTTCAGTAGAAAATCCGCACGCTGTCCGTCGGGCACATTTTCAATAAACATTTTCGGTGAATGTTTGGGCTGGCATGGTATGCTCATTGGACCATTTATTCTCCCAAAGTTGTCATATTTGTTACCTCTGTTCGTGGTCGGCACCACTGCCAGCGTCTGCGCGGTAGTGCATCAGCTGATTTCATTTTCTGTTGGAGCGGAATGATTTCGGGCAGAGACGTACTTAGCCCTTCTCGTCAACTGGAGAGTGAGTACTTTTTCCTTTATTTTTTTTTACTTGGTCGCCCATATTTCACTACACATTACCTTTGTCATTTCAAGGGTAGTTGTTTCTGAAAAGGAAAACCCCAACTTTGCGGACACCCTGTATAGATATTCAGAAAGCTCCGATGTGGAACAATTGTTACATAGGAGGTTTCTACATAACAACGACGAAATATTATACTATTTAAGACCTACTTAAAAAAAGAGACAACTAGTCTGTTCCGAGTAGAGGGAAACAGCAAGCTCGATTCACTTAACCTTCAAAGTTTGTTCTAAAAGATAAAGGTTCTTGCATTTTGACGGTTAGGAAAACATCACCAGCTGATGCTCCTTATTAAAACCTCTCACCCGGATGGAAAATCGATGTAGCAGGAGAGCGATCGTGTGGGAAACATTGCCGCCAGGTATGTACATTATAGGCCAGGCAATGTGGTTCGGGAACGACAAGAATAAATTCTAAACAAACCGAATCTTTCGGTTTGCCCATCAAGGAAGAATTTGAATTAGACAAAGGGCTTCCGATCCAACTCAAAACCAAAGAAAAATGGGTTTCAGTTGATTTGTACATGGTGTGACGAAATTAAGTCTCCACAACTCTGACTTAACTTTCCTGTGCATCTTAACATATTTCCGGAAACTACTAGGGTTCAGAGACTTTTTCTACACCTTTCTCGAGAGAGATGTTTGTTCAGCTGACCCGGATTCGTCGGCTGTTTGTGCATTATCCACACCAGAATGGATGAATGCATCCCACATACAGTGAAAGTGCCTAAATCAGGTTCCAACGGCTGGTTCAGCAAATCGTTAGCAGAAGATCTAGGCACACAGAACCTTCTTACAAAACCATTCTGTAGCCGACGTCGAGTCCAGAAATAAGTATTTCGAAGCGGTCCGCAATGCCAAAGACCAGCACTACAAGGTGTTCTCAAAGTTGGGGTATTTCCTTTACACGACGTGTAGATCTTGAAAACATAAGCAATTTTTCTTAGTACCATATACACCAATGTCTTAAGGGAACCGAGATAAAGGGCTCTGCAACATCAAAAATATCTGAATACCGTCCTGTAGCCGCGACTCGCGACATCACCGAGTGGTACTAGGACACTAGTTCAACCCGATGACAGAACTGGGTCGGGGTCAGTGTGTCAGGTCAGTATGCAACCTTCAACCGACGGTTACGGTCACGCGTGTAGAGGTAAACGAACCCGTACAATCGATTGCGTTTCAAAAAACAACAAGCACTAGAGAAGTGCAAGTATCAGAAACTAAAGTATGGCAAACGCTGCGTGAAGAGGGGCTGTATCCGTTTCACGTCCAACGTGTACAAGCCCTTCAACCTGACGATTTTCCAGTAAGAGTGCGGTTTTGTGAGTGGTTGTTGCATCAACATGACAATAATCCGGACTTTTTGAAGTACATATTGGTGACAGACGAATCTACGTTCACGCGTAATGGGGTGAATAACTTTCGCAACACTCATGTTTGGTCAGTAGAAAATCCGCACGCTGTCCGTCGGGCATATTTTCAACAAACATTATCGGTGAATGTTTGGGCTGGCATGGTGAACGGTATGCTCATTGGACCATTTATTCTGCCAAATCGATTGGACGGGATGCAATACCTAGACTTTTTACGCAACATTTTGCCTTCCTTGTTAGAAGATGTGCCATTAAGTGTAAGACAATCAATGTGGTTTCTGCACGATGGTCATATTTGTTACCTCTGTTCGTGGTCTGCACCACCGCCGGCGTCTGCTCGGTAGCGCATCAGCTGATTTCATTTTCTGTTGGAGCGGTATGATTTCGGGCAGAGACGTACTTAGCCCTTCTCGTCAACTGGAGAGTGAGTACTTTTTCCTTTATTTTTTTTTTACTTGGTCGCCCTCGTTTCACTACACATTACCTTTGTTATTTCAAGGGTAGTTGTTTCTGAAAAGGAAAACCCCAACTTTGCGGACACCCTGTATATAAAAGTTAGGCACAGGCTAATGTCGCAGCGAATTGCAGTCGGTGTTGCTGGACGTGTCAGGATGGAACGATTGTAACTGAGTCAAAAGATAAGGAGGAATTGCTACCAAATCCACCGTGGACGATCTCCCAACTCCCAAGTGCCGTCGATTCAAAGAGTTACATACACTATTCGGAAAGTAGGGAAGAAACATTCAGACGTAAAACCAGCTTCTGCTGTTGTCATGAAGAGATGTGCAGCGGAGATTTAGTTCTTTCGCGTCTTTTTAGAGATATCCCCAGAGTCCGGCACTTCCCAGAAAACTGGAAATTTGCTCATGTCGAAAGGATCTAAGACCGACTCTTACAATTACAGGTCTATAGCTCTGCTTTTTGTTATAAGTAAGATGATGGAAAGATGCATAAATCGGAAGCTTCTGGAGTTCCTCGAATGTCTCTTCTAAATTAGCGACATAAAGGGAGATGTATTGTTCGGTTTTTCCAAATTGCTGATACTTTCCAAGAAAACTTCAATATTTTTTCGAGTATTTCGTATTACATCAGTAAAAGTTAAACACGCAGAGCTTATAATTATAAACAATCTGCAAGTAGACGAGCTGGACTACAATCAAGTCGATTTGATACAAGACAAGTTCATACATTAGTTTTCATCACTAAAAGCTATACTGCCTTTGTCTAAGTTTAATTTGGATGAAAATGTTCAAAATCAGTTCCTGTAGTATCTACTGAGAAAACAAGTCGATTCCACCCCAAACGGACCACCCCCACGCCTCTAGTTTCTTCCAAACACCCCTTAAAATGGTGAAAATACCATCACCTAATATCGTTTTTGGTAACATTCAACAATAAAGATTGAAGAGGTGTCCAGCGGAACTTGCTTCAGTTCTTCCGCGTCTTTTCCAGATATCTAACGAATCTGGGGCCTTCCCAGAAAACTGGAAATGCGACCCTTACATCTGCAGGTATATAGCTCTGCTTTCTGTTATAAGCAATGCGATGGAGAGGTGCATAAATATCGAGCTTCTCGACTACCTCGAGCGTCACACGTTTCTTGGACGATACGAAAATGGAACAAGAAACACATGGCGCATGTCTGTTTTACTTCGGACTTTCATTTCTGCTGTTTCCAATAATCTTTGTGTTTTCGCTGTATCTACTCTTGTTTCCGCTGTGTGCGTCATTATCGGTCTTATTGCTGAATTGTATATCCTAGTTTTCGTTTCCGTTGTGAGGTATTTGTTTCTCCAGATTGTATTGTTGAGACATCCTGCTGCTCTGTTCGCCATGTTCGCTTGTTTTTGTACTTCTTCTTCCACTTTTCCATAGCTTGACAATTTGATTCCCAAGTATTCCGTTTCCATCACTTGTTCTATTATTTTGTTATTTACGAACAGTTTACATCGTCTCGGTTCCGCTGATATCACTATCGATTTAGTTTTCTCTGTTGAAATACCATGTTGTATCTTCGAATTCTTTTATTAATCTTTGCAGGTCATCTTCATTTTCGGCTATTATTATGGCGTCGTCGGCGTAGCATATTATATGCATTTCTTTCTCTCCCATTCTATATCCTCTTCTTTTTTTTTAACTTTCTTTATGATTTCATCCATTTTCAGATTAAATATTAGTAGGCTCAGCGAATCTCCTTGTCTAATGCCAGTTTCATACTTGATAGGTTGCGAGAGTTTTCCTTAACATCTTACCATAGTGTGTTATCTTTATAGAATATTCTCAATAGTTTTTACTAAATCCAGCGGTATTCGCCTGTCATATAATAAATGTATCGCGTCCCGAATTCTCATTCTATCAAACGCTTTCTTCAAATCTATCAGGCACATATATGCTAGTTTGTTGTATTCCAGCGACTTTTCTTTTATTTGTCTTATTAGAAAAACTGCATCCGTGCATGATCTTCCTGTTCGGAATCCTTGCTGTTCCTCTTGCAGAGTGATTCGTTCGTTTATTTTGGTCGCTATTATTCTTGTTGTCAATTTGAGTGTTGTATTTAACAGATTTATTGCTCGATAATTATTGGGGTCTTTCTTATTTCCTTTCTTGAAGAACATCAGCATGATCGCTCTCCACCATTCATCTGGTATTCTGTTCGTGTTGATTATTTTTTGAATAAGGAGTTGCAGTTGTTGTACAAGGTAATCGCCTCCATATTTTAAGAGCTCATTTGGTATTTGATCTTCTCCTGGTGACTTTCTATTTTTTAATTCATTCAAAAACATGGATTGGTCAAATAAAAGTGTAACTGACATTTTGTAATGCCAGCGCTCATTGTCGACTTTCAAACTACATTGACTGGTCTAATATTATACACCTACCCAGCTTTGTGCACGATAAGGGAGCAAATATTTGCCTTCGTTCTAGAAATTACGAACATTCTGTTTATGTCAGTATAGGTAGACAGTCGTGCTGTGGCCTGGAAATTTTGCTTGGTACAGTGTTTACGTTGAATGGAAATTCGGATCTGTATAATTTGTTCACATGACCTCCAATTGCTGTTTCACACCGAATCTTTCTCCTGGTAAAAGTAGCTAAAAGCGCGACACTCAACTTTTGTAGTCCTAAAATGATCTCGTGCTAAGATCTGGAGGTTTTACAAAACAAAATATTGAGGATTTGTTATCGATAGCTTCATGAGCGGCAATGTACTTATGGTGATATAGCTGTCTACAACTGTATGTATCTGTTTTGACAAGCAGATAAAAATGGAGCTGTGGGACCATGGTTGACACGACCGAGTTTCGTAATTAGTAAAATTTACACGCTTTTTGACGGTTTATAACATCAAAAAGTGGGATAGAGCACACACGTCCTTCCGGCCTACGTGAGGTTTGATTTCGTTTTGACGTATGACATGAACACAGATAACAGATTTTAGGTTCGTAGTGCCTCCAAATCCATATTGCCCAAAAACAAGTGATGTGGCATAAACTCGGGTATGATGGTTCCTGAAAAATAAAACTTTTTTTTAAAAATGCACATGATATTGTGAAGAACGCTTACCTTTTTCCTGCAGTCGTCACAGTATTCTTCCTTTATGATAAAAAGTAAGTGATATCAAAAACGGCTCTGCATTTTTCCAGTCAAGATATCAATCAACATATACGTAAATGTACAAAAAATGCAGATACAGAGTGTCCGCAAAGTTGGGGTTTTCCTTTTCAGAAACAACTACCCTTACAAAGGTAATGTGTAGTGAAACGAGGGCGACCAAGTAAAAAAAAATAAAGGAAGAAGTACTCACTCTCCAGTTGACGACAAGGGCTAAGTACGTCTCTGCCCGAAATCAAACCGCTCCAACAGAAAATGTAATCAGCCGATGCGCTACCGAGCAGACGCAGAAACCACATTGATTGTCTTACACTTAATGGCACATCTTCTAACAAGGAAGGCAAAATGTTGCGTAAAAAGTCTAGGTATTGCATCCCGTCCAATCGATTTGGGAGAACAAATGGTCCAATGAGCATACCGTTCACCATGCCAGCCCAAACATTCACCGAAAATGTTTGCTGAAAATGTGCCCGACGGACAGCGTGCGGATTTTCTACTGACCAAACATCAGTGTTGCGAAAGTTATTCACCCCATTACGCGTGAACGTAGATTCGTCCGTCACCAATATACACTTCAAAAAGTCCGGATTATTGTCATTTTGATGCAACAACCACTCACAAAACCGCACTCTTGCTGAAAAATCGTCAGGTTGAAGGGCTTGTACACGTTGGACGTGAAACGGATACAGCCTCTCTTCACGCAGCGTTTGCCACACTTTAGTTTTTGATACTTGCACTTCTCTAGCCACGTCTCTAGTGCTTATTGAGGGATTCTCGTCTACGCGATTACCTCTACACGCGTGACCGTAACCGTCGGTTGAAGGTTGCATACTGACCTGACACACTGATCCCGACCCAGTTCTGTCGTCGGGGTTGAGCTAGTGTCCTAGTACCACTCGGGGATGTCGCGAGTCGCGCCTACAGGACGGTATTCAGATATTTTTGATGTTGCAGAGCCCTTTATTTCGATTCCCTTAAGACATTGGTGTATATGGTACTAAGAAAAATTGCTTATGTTTTCAAGATCTACACGTTGTGTAAAGGAAAACCCCAACTTTGCGGACACCCTGTAGAATCATTTTGACCAACTTTTATTAAATTAAAACGACAAAGTTTACCTTATTCAGCAATCTCTTTATTAATCTAGCTCCGGATTTGAATTTGGGAAGAAAAGAGGTGTTCAAGATTTTGGAAGAGGCGCTAGCAGTCGCCGAAGAGCACATTGAATCAGGCTGTAACCAGCTACCCGTCCCAGACGAACTTTTCACGATAGCTTCACAACAGTAAGCATACAATTATCATATAGTAATAATAATAATAATAACTTATTCACATATCAACTACAAATTGTGAACAAATTGATATGCCACAAAACGAAAATATATTTGTATCCTAACACATCATACATATAACATAGCAGTTATAATAAACTGATAGGACTAAAAAAAACTATATAATATAAACGTAAAATGTACATTGATTTTGGATCGTGGACTAGCAATGAAAAGATATATGTTAGTTTTTTATAACTTACATCATGTTTATATCAGTTTTCAAACGCCACTCGTATAAACCTATTTTTAATGATGATCTAACTAATTTTTATAATCTAATCGAAAACGTTTTTAAATTGGGTAATTAACAAATAAATGGCGTGAAGTTAAGCCAAAATTCGTAGTCAGTAAGTAAGTTTCATCAAATTGAAAATTTAAAACACACACGACAACAGCGCGTCGGTCATCATCACTCTTATCGAACCGACAATCGATCGCGAACGGTAAAAGTGGTTGGTATCTTGTTTTGTTTTTGTTCGCGTACGTCGTCGTGTGAGGAACAAATTTTAAATATCGTGGAAATCAATGCAGATATCAGCACTCGGGAATTAGGCCGCCGCGTAGGACTATCGCATACCATAGCCCATAGAATCCTACGGGAAAATTTGCTTTATCCCTACTATGTACGAGTACCATTCGTGAAGGTCCTTCCCAACAACGTTTTAAAATAAATGTTTGGACGGGTATTCTTGACGATCAGGTAATTGGAACTTTCGAGTTACCCCCAAAGTTGTCAAAAGAAGAATACCTTAGCTTTCTAGGCAATAACCTACCAGAACTTTTGCAACAGACCTTAGACAACATGCCATTACAACGGAGACAGAACTTGTGGTTTCTTCATGACGGGGCACCACCACACATTTTTAGAGGCGTCATTCAGTATTTGAATGAAAATGGCCAGCAAGATCTCCTGACCTCAATCCGATGGATTTCTGGTATTGGGGAGAGCTTAAAGGGATGGTTTATAGAGCTGGTCCAATAACAGTTAAAACACAACTTCGCGAAAAAAATTTTAATGCGGCTGAAATAATAAATGGACAACTTCGAGGATCTAGAGTAAGAAGGAACTGGGTTCGTCGTAATGAAGCTTGTGTGGAAAGTGGAGGACGACATTTTGAGCACCTTCTTTAAATACAAAAAAAGTGCAGTGTGGGTTTTAAAAAGAAAAACAATGTATGTATCAAAATTGTGTTCCCTTTGCATTGCGGCGTTTTCTGATTTTATTTTACTTTAAAGTCGCTTTTCTCTAAAAAAAATGCCGTTTTGACCCCCATGTTATATGAAACTTTTTGCTCCTTTTAACCCCCTCTATCACCCATTTAAATAATAACTATCATAACGTATATAGTAGTGTTTTTCACTGAGAGCTGAAAAAGAAAGAACCCCGTATAAAGCATAATTTATTGTATATTAAGAAAAAAGAGCAGCTAGTAATAATGAATTTGCTACCTCAAACCGTCCTCGCGCGGACGTACCGTGGTGAGTGCCCCGGCGCCAGTTCTTGATTTGTTTTGACAGTGCGAATGACAGTGGATATGTAAATACAAGGTGTCCGCAAAGTTGGGGTTTTCCTTTTCAGAAACAACTACAATTGAAATAACAAAGGTAATGTGTAGTGAAACGAGGGCGACCAAGTAAAAAAAAATAAAGGAAAAAGTACTCACTCTCCAGTTGACGAGAAGGGCTAAGTACGTCTCTGCCCGAAATCGTACCGCTGCAACAGAAAATGAAATCAGCTGATGCGCTACCGAGCAGACGCAGGCAAACAAGGAAGGCAAAATGTTGCGTAAAAGGTCTAGGTATTGCATCCCGTCCAATCGATTTGGGAGAATAAATGGTCCAATGAGCATACCGTTCACCATGCCAGCCCAAACATTCACCGAAAATGTTTGTTGAAAATGTGCCCGACGGACAGCGTGCGGATTTTCTACTGACCAAACATGAGTGTTGCGAAAGTTATTCACTCCATCACGCGTGAACGTAGATTCGTCTGTCACCAATATGCACTTCAAAAAGTCCGGATTATTGTCATGTTGATGCAACAACCACTCACAAAACCGCACTCTTGCTGGAAAATCGTCAGGTTGAAGGGCTTGTACACGTTGGACGTGAAACGGATACAGCCCCTCTTCACGCAGCGTTTGCCACACTTTAGTTTTTGATACTTGCACTTCTCTAGCCACGTCTCTAGTGCTTGTTGAGGGATTCTCGTCTACGCGATTACCTCTACACGCATGACCGTAACCGTCGCGTCGGTTGAAGGTTGCATACTGACCTGACACACTGACCCCGACCCAGTTCTGTCGTCGGGTTGAGCTAGTGTCCTAGTACCACTCGGGCATGTCGCGGCAACAGGACGGTATTCAGATATTTTTGATGTTGCAGAGCCCTTTATCTCGGTTCTCTTAAGACATTGGTGTATATGGTACGAAGAAAAATTGCTTATGTTTTCAAGATCTACACGCCGTGTAAAGGAAAACCCCAACTTTGCGGACACCCTGTATAGTTTTACGAAATCAATATTAAGCATTTTTATCGATAATTACAACCTTGAAATTTCTATTTCACAAAAGGCTTGATGGATCTTGATATTTGAGGTGTTGATAGCACTATTCTGCACTATTAAAACATCATTTCCTCCTGTTACAGCTGACAGGGTCCTGTATTTTTCAAGTATGTCCATCCCGCATACCCCCCCGGTACCCAATGGGTGTTTAGGCCTTAGGCCTTCGTGGTAGTTGGAGTATAAAAAAAATGTTTTTTCTAATATTTGCATTATAGACGACAATTGTATTTCAATAAATAAAGAAATAATAAAAACATGTATTTCCCACTAGAGAGGAAGAAATATCACAAGAGAGTCTTACTAGTGACGAAGAGGAAAATGTTGCAAGTACATCAACTGTGTCCATAGACCCTGTAGAAAATAAATCTTATAGTTATTTGGCAATAGAGACCGAAAATAAGTTTGAGTATTTCAAACTGCCAGATAAGCAATGCGAATGGAATGATGTTGACGACTGTAAGTACACTGTATCGCACTTGATAGAACTTGTTGGCAAATGTTTGTCATTTTCTATCTTCAATGTCGCACTGAATAGGATTACTTTATTTTCGAGAGCGGGATATATTTTTTATTCAATATAGCGGCTGGTTATGCGTGATTTGAAATCTTCCATATTGTGTTTGGTTCATTGGAACATTTTTTTATTTTATTTATTTATTTCCAACAGGTGAAACCCAATTACAGGAAACGCTGAAAAAAAATAACAATTAAAGAGACATGGTTCTTGGACTTAAATCTATAGTATCACACATTCTAAATAAGATTGGATGATCTATAGCAGTTAATAACACTGGACAACAAATTTTAGTTTTTTAATTGTATCTTGTGGGAAAAGTGCACTTCTTTGTTAATTTTGGGGCGCTGAATCCAAAAATGACAATGAAATGAAAAAATTAGTTGCGGTTAAAAAAAAACTTTTCATTTTTAAGAATATATTAAAAAAAGTAACAAGATTCATATACTGACAAGAATCAATATATGCGCTGTCTTTTTGCTGTTCTTTTATGGATCGTTTCTGGAGCATCTCTACCAAGAGTCCAACAGTAGTCTGCAAGCATGGAAGGATTCCACTTTCCCTGGTACCTTTTTCCATTGTTGAAATATCCTGATGAAAACGTTCGCCGTGCTCATCACTTACGGCTCCGCAATTGTCAAGAAAAAAGTCCAGGTGTGAGTGTAGGAAATGTATCTTAAGAGACATATTACAGCCCATCTTTTGATACGATGACAGCATATTTTTGACAAGGGTTTTATAGTTGTCAGCTTTTCTATTTCCCAAGAAATTAGTGACCACCAGACGGAAATCATTCCAAGCAGTTTTTTCAATACCTGTTAAGGTGTTTTCAAACTGTGTATCTTTCAAAATATTTCGAATCTGTGGCCCAACAAAAATACCTTCTTTAACCTTTGCCTCACTTAGTCTTGGAAATTTCTGACGCAGGTATGGAAAAGCTGACCCATCTCTATCTAATGCCTTGACAAAGTTTTTCATTAGGCCCAACTTGATATGCAGTGGTGGTAATAAATTTTTTTTCGAATCTACTAATGGATGCTCTACATTTTTTTGACCTGGCTCTAGGAATTGACGAACAGGCCAGTTTTGTCTGGTGTAATGAAGTGCCTTTGCCCGACTGTCCCATTCACACAAAAAACAGCAAAACTTTGTGTAGCCTAGCTGCAGCCCAAGTAAAAGTGCAACAACTTTCAAATCGCCACAAATATGCCATTGATGCTCATCGTATTTTATGCATGTCAATAGGTACTTCATATTGTCATATGATTCTTTCATGTGAACTGCATACCCTACAGGAAGAGATGGTAAAATATTTCCAATATGCAATAACACTGCCTTTAAACTCAATGTTGAACTGTCTATAAACAATCTCCATTCTTCTGGGTTATAGTTTATATTTAAAGCCGCCAGTAAGCCGTTAATGTTACTGCAGAAAACCAAGTTATTCTCCATATTGAAAAATGGTTCTAAGTCTTTGTGGCGTTTACGAAAAACACATACCGAAACATCGTCTTCTAACAAGTTCCACTGCTGCAGTCTTGATCCAAGTAACTCTGCCTTACATTTTGGAAGTTCTAAATCTCTTACAAGATCATTTAATTCTGACTGTATTATTTTGTGCGGTTGGTGGCATGACGTGCTCGGTATAAAATCATGATCTCTTGACGTTGATGGCGTATCTTCTTCCTGACGAATCACTCGATCGCCATGATCTGATTCGTTTTCTGATTCGCAAGTGTAGGATTCTGGGGGTTTTGGAATAGGATTTTCGTCACTGTGAGGCACAGGTCTCATCGCAGATGGTATGTTTGGGTAGTTAATAACCGATTTTTTTTTCTTGGACATACCTGTGGCTTGTCCAACACCAGATACCATGCAAAAGTAACAATCATTAATATGATTTGTAGGCTCTCTCCAGCTCCTCAGACTTGAAGCACATGTATTACAGCAGATGTGGGGTGCCCACTGTTTGTCTTGATCACCTAGTTTACAACCGAAATAAAGCTGATATGCCTTTGTTATTAGGGGAGTAATAGACCGTCTCTGAGACGCAAAAGTCACATCACCACACGCGTAACAAAACTGATCTGGATTGTTTACACACTTTCGAGACATCTTGCATGAACGCTGTCAGCCAACTGAGGAAAAAATGGCTAATATAAAACAATATAATGTACACGTATGTATAACGTAACACAATCATGCCGATTACATCATCTTTCCTTGCCGAATATAAAAATGTAGCACGTGCATTCTTGTGAATTACAGTATATTAACACTGTCACAGCAGGAACACATATAATTACCGTATCTCTAAAACTTGAACTAATATTGAAAAAATAAGTTTCATTCCGGTTTTAGCACATTAAAAATAGTAATATTTTGTTGATTTTATTTAGGATATTTTTTGGCTGTTGATCAGTGTAATCGATGCACAACTGTCACTGTAAATATCACACGATTCAGTAACACTGTTCATGACGCAGCACATGAGATTAATTGGCGATTTTGTCATAACATTTGTACGGCCAGCTTGACAATAGAATGCCGTTTGTTGTCGACTCCCTAGCCTTGGAACGCGGAAACATATTTTTTCAAGTAAATTTTGACAGTCAATTTTATTGTGAATGAGACCATACAAAAACGACAAAGCAAATATGTTTCGTCTTGTTGACAGTGAATCCAAATTGAAAAACTCTAATAGGGCACTATGGTCACAACCTCTTTCTGGATAAGAACCTGTGCATTTAAGGTGAAAATACTCTAAAGCTTTACGTTGAATGGACTAAAGGATCACGATAGAATTTTGGTATATAGGAGACCAGATCAAAGTCGCATACTCCAACTTACTCCTGACAAAAGTAAAAAATAAAGTCATTAATGTATCAACATTGGAGAAACCCTTCCAGTTTCTGATACAGAAACCAAGTAGTCGAGTGGCAGCCGACGAGATATTGAGTATATGCTCAGTAAACGTTAGCTTGGTATCAAAAATGACTCCAAGGTCTCTATAAGAGGTGCATATGTCTATAACCTGACCATTGATGTTATAATTATCATAAATTAAATAGTTAACTTTTCTTGTATAAGTCATAATTTTACAGTTTCGTGAACACCATGACGAACTTTGATGTTATCCGCAGCAATTTCGAAAATCCGTGAAATGAAGTGTAGACAGAGTCGCTGGCTTTACTCAGAGTTTGTACCAGATCTATACTTCCTGTTTAAAAAGTTAATGAAGCCTTTAAAACGAATAATCATATTTTGCTTGTATTGTAGAAGAAAAATATTGGTTAAGGCATTCATCCCAAAAAGATGTCAGCAGCAATTTATGGGTTATAGGTTACGATGAAGTTGTATATATACAGGGTGGCCCATCCATGTGTGGACGGAATATTACTCATAAACAAATAAATTTTGGGAAAATCTGTTTAGGGCATGTTATACATGATGTTTGAGAGCATATTTCTAAAATATTGGCAATTATACAGTGTGTCCCAATTTTGATCTACAAATAAAAGTTGTGATTTTTTAAATGGAATGACTCAAATTTTATTGAATATTTGGATAAACCAATTTGAAAGAATAAGATTGATATAACATACTACGGGGTTTTGGTGATTAGCTACTGAGATGTAAGGTGTTATGTCCAGAATAACCGTCCAATTCGGCAACCCCTCAATCCGCCATTTTGAAATTTGGAGTGCTGAATTGTATATCGAAACAAACTTACACACCTCAGCTTTTATCCTATTAGTTACTTTTTCGAATTTCCATTTTTGATCATACAGGGTGGTCAAAAATGCGAATTGTACTTTTTCTCAAAAATTTCAAATACATCACCCTGTATATTTGTGCAAGTTTGGATTCAATCTTTTATAAGCTTTTTTTGTATAAGGTTTGATTCAGATAAAATCACTAGATTTTGAGCTATTAAGCTTTTAATAGAACAACACACCAAAACTAAGGAAAAAATCCATGGAAACAGTGGGCTAGTTCCATATTGCCACTAGAAGTACAGATTTGACGTAAAAATTAATAACAATCAGAACAGTATAAATCAGCTTCAAGCGTAATAGAGAAAAACAACTATAACAACAACCATATTCACCATTTCTTCTTTAGAAAAATTCATTTTCAAACACTTCTTTATTATAATGCTCAAAAAGCTAATTTTGACAGTTTGTAACTAATCGACAATTATTTATTTGTTTCCAAGGATGATGCGATATTAAAGGGAATGAAGCCGTTCCATAAAAGACGCGCTAATAACAGAAGAAATAACCGTAAAAACCCTTATGTGTCTAGTATCAAAAAAAGCTTATAAAAAAATTGAATCCAATATACAGGGTGATGCATTTGAAATTTTTGAGAAAAACTACAATTTGCGTTTTGGACCACCCTGTATGAGCAAAAATTAAAATTCGAAAAGGTAATAAATAAGATAAAAGCAGAGGTGTGTATGTTTTTTTATAGAAAATTCTGCACTCCAAATTTCAAAATGGTGGACTGAGGGGTTGCCGAAGTGGGGGGTTATTCTAGACAAAACACCTCATATCTCAGTAGCCAATTTCCAAAACCCCATGGTATGTTACATCAATTTTCTTCTTTTGAATCGGTTTATATATGGCATTCCATTTGAAAAATCACAACTTTGGTATGTAGGTCGAAATTGGGCCACCCTGCATAATGGCCAATATTTTAGAAATGTGCCCTCAAATGTCCTGTAACAGCCCATAAATAGATTTTCCTAAAATGTATTTGTCCCCAACAAGAGTCAACCTACACAATGTATACTAAGTGATATATAAATCTGAACTCCCAGTTTAAATGGTTTATTTTAATAAAATTTTGTATAGGTACTTAATGAAGCATAGTAAGTAAATGATAAAAATTTCAAAATGATTGCACTGCTTGCCTTTTGACCTTTAATAATGTGTGGATGCACCCTGATGTGCTACGCATTCTCCAACGCGCCTAGGCATACTTCTGATCAGGTGGTCAATGTCCTCCGGTGGTATCTCATTCCAGGCAACCACCAACTCCTCTCGAAGTGCTTCTAGAGTCTGAGGAGGACGTTGCAAATTGAGCAATCTCCTACCCATCATATCCCACACGTGCTCAATTGGGGATAAGTCGGGAGATCTTGGTGGCCATGGTAACAATGTGACATCATTATGTTGAAAGAAGTCTATTGTGACTCTTGCAACATGTGGTCTTGCATTATCTTGTTGGAAAGATGGATCTGCCAGGGTGTCAAGATAGGGTAAAAGATGGGGTTCTAGAACTTCGTGGATATAACGCTGCGCGTTCATGTTACCTCTGATGAAGATTAAAGGTGACCTGGAACCATAAGCTATAGCACCCCAAACCATAACTCCAACAGTGTGACGAACATGTCTTTCAACAAAAAACTGTGGATTCCTCCTTCCACCACGTCGCCTTCTAACCCTGGCACGACCATCGTGCATGCCTAAACAAAATCGAGACTCGTCACTAAAGACAATACTGTTCGATTTCTGATCCCAGAGTGACCGTTGTCTGCACCACTCAAGGACATTACGTCGGTGTAAGGGTTAGAAGGCGACGTGGTGAAAGGAGGGATCCACAGTTTTTTGTTGAAAGACATGTTCATCACACTGTTGGAGTTATGGTTTGGGGTGCTATAGCTTATGGTTCCAGGTCACCTTTAATCTTCATCAGAGGTAACATGAACGCGCAGCGTTGTATCCACGAAGTTCTAGAACCCCATCTTTTACCCTATCTTGACACCCTGGCAGATCCAACTTTCCAACAAGATAATGCCCGACCACATGTTGCAAGAGTCACAATAGACTTCTTTCAACATAATGATGTCACATTGTTACCATGGCCACCAAGATCTCCCGACTTATCCCTAATTGAGCACGTGTGGGATATGATGGGTAGGAGATTTCTCAATTTGCAACGTCCTCCTCAGACTCTAGAAGCACTTCGAGAGGAGTTGGTGGTTGCCTGGAATGAGATACCACCGGAGGACATTGACCACCTGATCAGAAGCATGCCTAGGCGCGTTGGAGAATGCGTAGCACATCAGGGTGCATCCACTCATTATTAAAGGTCAAAGGGCTTTAAAGCAGTGCAATCATTTTGAAATTTTTATCATTTACTTATTATGCTTCATTAAGTACTTATACAAAATTTTATTAAAATAAAACCATTTAAACTGGGTGTTCGGATTTATATGTCACTTAGTATAGTATAAAATACATTGCGGTGTTTGCCCGTTATTTTCCTATTTTTGGTATACCTGTATACCTTTCTCCGCATGATCATTTTCTCTTTGTAGATCCTTTGCGCTTGAGATACCACAGCAAGTGGCTATAATCGGCCACGTGGTTGTGGTAGGATGTCGCCTTGGAAATTCGAGGTCTTCATTTTCTCTTTGTACTATGTACTGTAAAGGTTCAAGATGTTGTTCCAGATGTATAGCTTCTAACAGTTACTAAACGGCAGTCGTATAAATGCTTCTGTTGGCAGCAGCTTGCTGGCTAAAGTTGTCAATTTGCACGCCAAAACAACAAGGCTTGGGTGTATTGTATAAATGTTACCATGGATGCTATTTTGACTACCGATCTAATTAAACCATATAAAATAATTGTGAAAAAGTTTACGTAACAGTTCAAAAATTATCCTTTAAGTCGTTGCATGAGTATGCTACAATAATTTTCTAGACACCTCAGGCAGCAAAACTGCATTTTACACAACATTGAACCAGCATTTTAGCGTCCAGGCAACAACAAAACGGCTTAACAGTCCTTTTGCCAAAAACTCAAAACACCACTTTGCTAGTTGAGCATAGTTTGGTCTGTCTTTTCGTAATGAAATTACCACTGGATCTTCTCAAACGTTGTTTCAGGCATGAGCACTTCAATAGAGACAGACTCAGAAGACGAGGTACGCGTTGTCGCTGCTCAGTCAAAATCAGAAGTCGTTGAGGAGGATGTTGAGGATGATTTTGATCCAGCAGAATTCTACAAACCGGACTCGCGAGTGCCTTCAAGATTTTTACGCAGAGACTCCGAGGAGGAAGAAGAAGAATCTGAAGATGTATCTTATGATAGTGTGTCTAAGGAAGAAAGTGTCCATTCTCAGCGTACGTATGCAAACTGTTGCTGCTTTTATTCAGGACGGACGAGGACTAGCAGCGGTTTCCTCTTTTGCGAGAGACCTGGAGGTTATCATTGCTTAGGGACACAACAATCTTGTACATCGTAATGCTTCCAAAACACAATACTGTACTTTGATGTGCAAAAAACGCTCATCCGGTTTCGATAAATGGCCGACCTATTTCAGCTAGTCTGAGTCCAGGTCACCAAGGACTTGATCTGGCACGACCACATCTTCGTCAATAGCGTCAAACTATTCTATTTGTTCAGGGCTAAGAAGCACTTTTCTCCACAGGATCTCACATGAAAAGCATTTAGACTTGCCTGAGTGGGGGTTTCAAGAACTAATTCATCTTAGTAAAGTTGTGGCCAAAGAACGAATTACTTTGGTAGGAAAATTGTATAGGAACAAGATAGAAAACTTGGTGTTGTCTGCTCTCAAATTCAGGCTCGTATCAAAGATGTATAGAGGAAGAATATAACCTTGGTATTGGGATGCCACAGAGTACTGTAAATAAGTATATTAATCTCATAACAGCGATAATATATGCTAAATAATAATTAAACCGAAACCAAATTTAAATCTTAAAGCAAAGCACGAAAAATTGTTTTCTCCGTAGATTCTACATTATACAGTAGATTCAAAAAGTTATCTCAGAAAATACTAACCAGACCGAAAAAATGACTAAGACGAGGATTGCAGGAATTTACCTGAGCAATCTAACGGTGACCTTGGCTTTGACCTTGAAAATTATTCCAATGTCAAATTGAATTTCTTAAATCGGACCCTTCGCTTTTGATCCCGGAAATTGGAAGAGCGGAAAATTCTGGGTTTGTATATGCCCTTGATCATGACCCACTATGGGGACCTATTTCAGAAAACAGGAACAGGAATCTTATTTTCCATACTAAAATCATGCTCAAGGACATCCAAACTTAGAATTTTCGCCTCTTCAGTTTTCTATCGCCTAACGAACGAACAAAATTTAGTTGCAAAAGTTATGCGTATTCCTAGGATCAGTGATCATTCATGGATATGTTTTGGAGTTGAATGTAAATTTGATGCTGACAAAGTAGAAGAAATTACTAACTATGTAAAATTACGATAAGCTCTTTTACTGCAAGATATGACTGAAGAGTAAGTTTGAGGATCACTATTATTATTTCAAAAATTGCCCAAAAACAAATTACTTTTAGAGGGCTTCTCATCGTCTTGGTACCTATTCCAAGAAAATAGTTTATAATACAATTATTCTGCCGCATTTACTATATTGTTCAACTATCACTGCCAATGAAGCTGTATTCTCAAAATTACAAGTTTTGCAAAATAAAGCTATGAGAATAATATTGAATAAAAATAAGTAGGTACACCAAAATAAAATCAATGTTACAAGAATTGCAGTGGTTGAATATAAAAAATTTCATATCATATTTGGTTCTTATTTTTATACTTAAAATAAAAAATCATCTTTTGCCAGAACATTTAGAACACTACATAGAATTGAATAATCATTACCACAATTGAAGACACAAGTGGATAAAGGTGTCATGTAACATTTTTTCAAAAACGTGTTTTTTTCGTTCAATAGGCTTAAGATTTGCTTTTCTTTCATTATCAAGTCTCGTTATTATACAATATTTGTGAATTACCTAGATATTCAAGTGATAAAGGTGTTATGTACCCATATTTTTGCCTTTGACAGTGGATAAAGGGGTCAAGGTAACATGACACCTTTATCCACTGTCAAGTGTAAATTTTCTGTCGAGAATCCACAGCATGACATTTGAATTTGAGGTTAGGTATGTTATTGTTTTGGATTTTATTATACAATGGTTATGTGTAAGAGTGCTGTTTTTGAAACTGTTGGTTTACTAACATAATATATTCAGTGATGTCTAGAGGAAAATAAATTTTAAAGATTCTAGAGGATCAACAAAAAGCATGTACTACAAGACCAGGTAGAAAATTAGTGGCTTTTATTATTTTGTTGTTATTTTGTACTGATTTTGCATTGATTTTAGAAACTAATCACGATGGATCAATTAGTCCCATGAGAAGTTTTGGAAATAAAGAGAGCGAAAATATAGACAATAACCCTAAGACGTTTCCTTGTCTTAATATTTGTTCTAAACCTAGCACAAATAAAAATGATGCAGAATTCATTAAAAATCTAACAGCTAATCCTCGGATATCAATTATTCCCAGTACCAGTAGAGGTATGGACGCAATCAATATTTATTTTAAAAGAGGTAATTAATTAGTTTTATTGTTTATTTTTAGATATATACCAGTCTCCATCGTCTCATAAAGATTTCAGCGATGAGGATGTCACAAGCTGCAGTGAATATATCTCCGAAACCGAATCGAGTAATGAATCAGATAATGAGCTGTTATCCAACGTTCGAAACAAGCTATTATCTCAAACCAGGCATGACTCAAACCAAAGCTCAAGTACTCAATTAACTCCGGAGAATCGATTTATATCGCATATTACTGCTGATATTGGATTGCCCAATTTAAAAGATGACCATTTTTTGGAAGAAAAAAGAGAAAGAGTGAAAAAGAAAATATTTCAGTTGAAGGACAAAACATCTAAGAAACGTCTTAGGAATCCAGATCAGTGGAGTAGAAGAAAATCTGCAATTTTAAGAGCAAGAGGAGAAGAGTATCTTTCTCAAACAGGGAAAGTTATGTCAAAAAAGAAATAAATTCTGGATTGCTGTGCAAAGAAAAATGCAGATTACATTGCTCTGACGAGTTTCTTTTAGAAGATAGAAAAGCAATTTTAGAAAAGTATTATGCATTAGATATAAACGCAAAAAATGCTTTGTTATTTAAAAGCATAAACATCAAACCGGTTGCAAGACATAGGACTAATGTAAAAAAAGAAAAAACATATTCTTTTAGTTATTCCATTACTTTTAATAGAAAAACAGAAATCACATGCCGAGGTGCACTATGTTCTCTTTATCAGATTAGCCGAAAGAAAATTGAACTTATGCAAAGAACACTGAAAAAAGGAATGAATGCTCCAACACCTGACAAAAGAGGTCAACACAAAAACAGACCTCATAAAATTAAAGAGGATGTCATTGCGTGCATTATGGATCATATCCAAAAATTCCCCTCAGAAGAGTCACATTACTCACGTAATAAAAACTGTCATAAAAAATATTTGTCACCTATCCTTAATATGGCTACAATGTATAAGTTGTACATCGAAGACTGTGAAAACAGAAAACTGGATGATTCTTTCAAAGTGACACTTTTTTCCTATGCTAAAATATTTTGTACAAAGTTCAATTTATCTTTTGGCCACCCTAGAAGTGACACGTGTAGTGTTTGTGATTCAGGACAAAACACAGATCTGCATACAGAAAACTTTAAAGCTGCATTTGAATCACAGAGACGTGATAGAGAAAGACCATCAATGGAAGAAGATACCTGCTATATAACTATGGATATGCAACAAACGATGCCACTACCAAAATTATCTACCAGTAAAGCTTTTTACCTTCGCCAAATGTGGTACTATAATTTTGGTATCCATTGCTAGTGGATCAAAACCTTTTTTTTTCAATTGGGCCGAAGATGTAGCAAAACGAGGAAGTATTGAGATAGCTAGTTGTTTACTCCGATTTTGTCAGCAGCTCAAAGAATCTCACAAAAATATTAATCATCTAATCATTTGGTCTGACTCTTGTGCAGGCCAAAATAAAAACTTCAATATTATCAGTCTCTATCAATTTTTAATTTTAAATGGAACATTGAAAGTCATCGATCATAAGTTTCCAGAAGTTGGACACAGCTACCTAGACTTTGGCAGAATAGAAAAAAAACTTAGAAAGGTTGAGAATATCTATGTACCCGAACAATACCGTGAGCTAATTAAATCTGCAAGTACGAAAAACTGTGCTACCCTCGATATGGAAAATTACTTCTATGACTTTAACGAACTCTCAGGGAAGTTGCATATTTGGAATAAAAAGACTAATGATATGGGACAAAAAATCTGTTTCAGAGATAGTGTCAAATGGATTAGAGTTGATGAGTTCGGCAGCTACTTTTATAAAGAAAATCTGGATGAATATTCACCTTTTCATAAAGTAAATCTATTTAAAAAAGGAAGTAGGGTGATACGTAAGGAGGACAATATTACACTACGCAGAATCACAGAGAAAAAAGGTGGACTTACTGCAGAAAAGTTGAGTAACTTGCGTGAACAGTTAAAGTTTGTCAAGAACGAGTATAAATGGTTCTATGAAAAAATTTTTGAAGAAAACGAAGAGAATCCCAAGAAAAAAAGAAAAGCAATTGGTTCATTTTGATGAGTTTTGAGATTTTTGTTACTTTTGCAATAAAATACCAATGTTTAAGTACATAACACCTCTTTTCATTTCCCGTCAACACAAGGTTTTGTCAACTTCTTATGGATAAAGGTGTCATGTACTTTCAAAGTACATTTTCTCTCAAAATATCAACATGTCTTCAAGTTAAACAACAGACAAAGAAAATATTTAATGCTGTTTAAAAAAACATTTATAGAAAATGCCTGAAATTGAATGCATAAAAAAATTCCAATCGGAAATCTTTAAAGTGATTTTTCTCAGAATTATTATTTTGTGACATGACACCTTTATCCACTTGTGTCTTCAATTATTATATGTACAAGAGGAAATATAGATTTTCATTTACAAAATTGCAATACTAATATAACTGGTAAATCAATATTATAAAGAATATTTCATGGACAATTTAAATTCTCAGAGATGCAAATTTGTTTTCTGAATATCTGTGTGTTATGTAATTGTTTAGTTTTTTAGAAGAATGTAATTTTAGCAATCATGCTAAATAAATCTTAAACAAACAAAAATGTATAGATTCTCATTTGAGGAAATCGCTTTGACCTTAAGTAACCTCAAGGTCAAGGTAATATCCAAGCTTAGAATGTTACCCTGTTTCGATATCTTGGGTCAAAAGTATAGG